TGCCTCCTGGTAATATAATATCTCTATCATATGGAATTAGTCACATATATAATTCAATCTGATAAAAAGTACCAAGGCTTATTAATGTATTCAATCTACACATAGTGATGCCTAACAAAGGTACTGCGTTAAGACAAGCGTCTGAGGCAATCAATCAATGTATCCGTGTGTTCAGGCTTCCCGACAGATATGCGAACATAACCCCTCAACTCTTTGTTGTTGTAGTGACGAATCATCACACCCATTTTTGCTAGGTCCGCCTGTATCAAAATTGAAACCATAGAATGTTCAAACGAAATACAGAGTACATGATTCAAACGTTATACAAGTTTTAGTGGTGAATAGCAGGTTAAGAACCATTTTTCTGGGCTGCCCATGAATCAAACCCGATATATAGCACATGATACAACCTCAAACTGTCTTCGGTAACACCAAAATGTTTCAGGGCTGTCTTTCTAATTTACAATTGACATAGTTTCTAGCATTCGGTTCGAATGTGTTCTCAGGTTCTCTATTCTTTTTTGAGAATCTACATTCTCTATTCTTAGCAAGCCCTGTGAAGTGTAGCTAAGAATTGCATCATATACTCCCTAGAGAAATCTTCATAACTTCTATTATATTTCATACAACTTGTTATTTACTGAAATATATGACTTTTGGCTTTCATAACTAGTCCAACCAGGAATACATTCCAACTTAGGGGAACTACAAAAACTGCAGATATTCCAAGAATTCTATAATACTGAAGCTTTCATTTCAGTCCCCTATTACTGGAACCCTAACAATATGAATTGGTGGATTGCAATACATTGGGTGCAGAACCAAAAGTTTTCTAAGATGATGATGCCATGCTATAAGAAGTAAAAAACTACCTTCAGCTTCTTAGCATCCACTCCCGATGTAACCTCACAAAGAATAAAATTGGAATAGCTTGGATATGGGTTGAGAAATGGCAGCTCCTTTAGAAGGTTGTAAAGCCTCTCCCTTTCTTGTAGCAAAGCGTCTTTCACAGTCTGGTACATGTTGAAACCCATATTAAATATAGTGACAAGCACAAATGATACCTTCTCGGACCTAGTCTTGACATAGTTCAATTATTAAGATTAACAGGAACAGGAGAAATCCAAAGATTCTTAACCTCAAGATATGTGGGATTCTGCAATGCCGCGCAAGCAGAAACTTCAGCAGTAACAGACACATTATATGGTTGCTTTGCTCTCCAAAGATATTCAATGATGGTCAATGGAAATGCTCCATATCCCACGCGGAGTCCAGCTAAGCCTGCACCATTTTCACATTCCACAAAAATTTAACCATTTACAAAAAGGTTGAAACTAACAAACTAAAAATTTATACAACACTTGAAAGTTTGGATTGCAAATCCTGTTACTGGAAATTGATTAGCAGTTCCAACAGTACCAAAGGAGAACTATAAACCATGCCATTGTGATCATAAATTCTTTTATTAACAGGGTCAACAGTACCGAAACAAAATTATATCGACCAACATACAAGTTCTCAGAAGAAAATGATTTCACAAAAGAAAACAAGAAATTGTTGTTCATAGAATATTGTCACTAGAAACTTATTGACAGGCTTGATACCAAAATATTGTCAGTAGAAATTTATTGACAGGCTAAATAGTACCTAAACATATCACAAAAATCTTATTGCTAGAAATTTACTGTTAATAGTACCCAACCGGAATTATAACAAGAAATTTAAGATCAAGAATACCAGCTCGTTTGCTAAAAGTCCGAAGTACAATTAGATTCTCATGCTTTTTCACCCACTGCATCCGTGATTCAAGTCCTGAAAACTCAATATATGCTTCATCCAGCACCACCAGTACAGGAAGCTCAAGGACTTTCAAGAGAATCTCGTCACTGATTATACTGCCATAGAATAGGTAGAACAAGAAAAATTAGTGTAAAATTCATCTTTTAGACACAGTTTCTGTTAATATAAAAGGAAAAAAAAGGTCTTCAGAATCAAATTTCAAATCTTAATACCATAGATTATCCATTTTATTAATAATTTTTTCAGTGAGTGGCCTAGACAGTTTCATTAATGGACTATATAATATAAAACACACAAGCGCCCTCATTTCAATCTTGGGACATAAGAATAACAAAACTATGCACGGAAAGAAACAAGTTTCAGTTACCTCCCATCTGGATTGTTGGGAGAAGTTAGGAATATGCATTTAGGTTTTTCCTGTACAACAACATCTGAAATGACGTCTACATCCAAGCTAAAATCCGACTTCCTTGGCACTGCAGGGTTCCATTGAACACTTACAGATTATACACACATACTGTACATCAAAGTACAAGAGCTGCGGTACCAAAAGTTTCATTTGTATTCAAGGATAAAAAGTTAAAAATATTCTAAGATAAAATTACCAACAAAAAATTAAGCAGAATGCCATCTTTACCTTTAATGACAGAAGCCCCATTTACTGCAGCATCAAATTCATACATTGTGAACGTTGGAGGGCAGTCAACAATCTTGTCACCAGGATCAAGCACACATCTTCAGCAATATTTTAATCAAGGACAAAGGAAAGACAAAATCAGGGGCTGATAGACAAGAAAAAAAAGGATAGCATGGTTTGGAATCTTATACAAACATAAGGTTTCGTTATAACCTCATAATCAAATCAATGAGCTCATCCGCACCACACCCAACAAGAATATAATCAGATTCAAGCCCTGAATCCTTTGCAAGGGCAGCACGTAACCGACGGCTTTCAGGGTCAGGATAGATATATGGGAATTTCAGTGCACCCAAAGCTTCAAAAACCTACAAACAATCTGAAATTGCAGTAAGGACATAAAGGGGTCTAAAAAAGCTTGGCATGATGTCACTTAACACAGGCTGGAAACCGATAAACAAATAACTCCACCACATCATATGTAGTATAAAAAATTATTGTGCTTAAAAACCAAGTACAGTGGCACATATGACTAACCTCCGGAGGAGGACCATAAGGGTTTTCATTTGCATCTAATTTGATGATGTCCTCAGGCTTCCTTCCAAGTTGGGCCGACAAAACCTGTAGCCAAAGAAACTTAGTCACTAGTTGGCCAGAAATTTACCAATTGAAATAGTTATTGAGAGATGTCTAATTCAACCTACACAACCATCATAATGGAACCAATTATGTATACATATTCACCGGTATCAGAAGAAACAAAAAGAAAGTCCAGACTAACCGTTTCTTTAGCAGACTGCATAAATACTAATTTTTGAAAATACCATCGACCGTAGAAGAGAAATACATCCCCACGGGGACAAAGACCTAACTTTTACTTGTTTAAATAACATTCAAGATTAATCAAGATCAGGTACATTGAAGCAGAAAAGAAAATATGTTATGCAAGCATGAGATTCTTTGGCACTCAATCCAGGTTTATTAAGAACAGGCTACTCCAGGTCAATTTTTTCAAAAATTTCTGACTAATATTAATTATGCATTGCAGATGCTAAAATCAAATATTAGTTCACAGAAAGTTACTTCTCAACCAGACTTGAATTTCTGGCTCATTTAAGCCAAACTTGAATTATAAATAAGATGCATTATACAGACAACTGAATCGAGATAAACAAAAAGAAACTTATAAGCAGCAATTGCATCCTTTTAAATTATATACAATTAAAACACAAAATAGAAAATTATCTATAAGCTCAATTTTCACCAAAAAGTAAATTGCAAGAGCTTTATAACTCCGCATCAAGCATTATCAAGTCTAGCTCAGACCTCATTCACCATTTTTCTCAGAAACGTTCACCAAAACTCCGAAAAAAAGACTTCAAATCGATTCAAAGTGGGAAAAGGATGCGTTTAGATTGAAATACCTCAAATGGCAAAATGGACTGATAAGGAGACAAATTCCTCAAATGGGGTCGAATGAACGAGTCACCGGTCAAACGCTGTTGAACCTCACTAACTTTTTTCTGCACAGGGGTTGTGGAAGCCATAGCCACCACCGTCCTCTTGTTCCCTTCAGTTCCACAACTGGGTCTGCGACTGATGCTGATATTGGTCAATCGTAGTGAGGAAGCGTTGTATATATCAATCACACCCATCAGCATTAACCTCGCGGGTGGATGAGGGCTCGGAGAGAAGGTTGGTGATGGCGGTGACAACCTGTGCTGTTGACTGGTGGCGGCGGCGGCGGAAACGGGTATGATTCAAATGGAGGGAATTGTCTTAGGGCTAAACGGTATTACTCAAACCGAATCTATTGATTAGGTGTTGGAAGGTACAGGTGATGTCCTTCCAATAGCCATTGCTTTTGCACCACGTGTAAAACAAATAGTATTGATAATTTTTTGGCTAAAAGTCATTTTTGGTCTTTGAAGTTTGACACTTCAACTACTTTTGACCATGTAGTTTCAATTCCGTCAATTTTGACCATGTAGTTTAGTATTTGTAGCAATTCAAGGACAAGTTAGTATTTCTGTCAATTTCTTTGACGGTGCAATGGACAATTTCGTCAACCCAAAATCCATGAGCATAAAAGCTCGTCTGAAACTCCCCTAATTTCATATTAGGGCTTGAAATTGGTTATTTGGGTTTAGTGTTCTTCAAAAATTGGGTTTAATAGTTGAATTTCAAGCCCTAATATGAAATGGGGAGAATTTCAAACAAGCTTTTACGCTTAAGTGTTTTGGGTTGACGAAATTGCCCTTTGCATCATTAAAGAAATTGACAAGAATACTAATATGTCCTTGAATTACTACAAATACGAAACTACAATGGCAAAATTGACGGAATTGAAACTATAGTGTCAAAAGTGGTTGAAGTGTCAAACTATAGGGACCAAAAGTGACTTTTGGCCTTTTTTTTGTTGCCAAAAGGCACTGTCCTTGTAGGATACCTCTTTCTCACTTTTCATCCCTGTAGTTTCAATTTGGTCAATTATACCCTTGTAGTTTCATAATTGTAACAATTATAAGGAGAAGTCATGAATTTCTTCCACGGTGTCACGAGTATTTCTGTCAATTCAAGGAAAACTCTAAGATGATATTAGCGAGATTTTGACGTTAGGTTTTGTTGATTAATGAATTGAAAGCTAGATTGGGAATGCTCTTATTTTAATTTGCTACTTTGGTCACTTGGGAATTTCATTTCAATGATAAATCAATTGCATGTTTGTTGTTTGCAATTAAAAATAAATAAACTTTAAGTTTCTAATTTTTTTAATAGAAAATGAACTGAAATACCACTAACGTCGTGAAAGGAATTGACAGAATTCATGACTTGTTCTTGAATTGCTACAATTATGAAACTACAAAGGCACAATTTATCAAATTGAAACTACAAGGATGAGAAAAAGAGGTAAATTACAAGGACCAAACGTGACTTTTAGCTTAATTTTTTAAATGATTAGGAAATTGTTTGCGTATTATACACGTATGCACATATTTTTTTTTAATTTTATAAATATAGTAAATTGAGTTTAGACCCATAAAATTCATTTTAAATCACCTACAACCCTTTCCTTTAGTTTTCTATTTAAAATACCCGATTTTTTCAAATAATACCCGATGACTAGGATCCAACTAAGCAAGTTACCTAATATAACTTAATATTTAATTTATTGTATTTTTCGGATTCCAAAACTACCCCTATTTATAAGTTAATGTGTTATTGAGGGTGTAACTAATGACACCCGTTGAATTTGGAAATATCTCCAATTGTAATGGATGTAGGAACTAATTTAGAAACTTATTTGAAATTAAATATTAAATTCCACATTAAAGTATTAGTAATCTATTTTACAACATTAATTCCTAAATTTAATACTGATAGTACATCCTAATTATGTTGAAAAATAATTTGATAATCTATTTATTATTTTATTTTTAAAACATTTTTTTTAATGAACCTATTTTTTTTCCAAATATTGTACCTATTTTTTTTTCTTTATTACTTGTTTTATGAAAAATAATTTGATCATCTTTTTATTTTTGTTTTATGAAAACAATTTCTTTTTAAAATGAGCCTATTTTTTCTCTCAAAATAATGTACCTATTTTTTTCTCTAATAATGTACCTATTTTTTTTCTTTCTAAATAATGTACCTATTTTTTCTCTCAAAAAAATGTACCTATTTTTTCTCTCTCTAATAATGTACCTATTTTTTCTCTCTAATAATGTACCTAGTAAAACAATTTACCTAGTATAATGTACCTATTTTTTTCTCTAAACAATGTACCTTTTTTTTTCTCTAATAATGTATACCTAGTAAAACAATTTACCTAGTATAATGAACTTATTTATTTCTTCTAAATAATCCTAATAATGTATACCTAGTAAAAAAATTTACCTAGTATAATGAACTTTTTTTTTCTTCTAAATAATTTACCTATTTTCTATAAATTGTTGTGTACCTATTTTTAATTTATGAAAAATGTACGGAAATTTCAATTACAAAGTAATTGACCTATTTTTGTTAATTTTTTTGGTAAATAATATACCTATATTTTTATACGTATATATTTATATCTATATTTATATTTTTCATATGTACATTATTGGATATGTAATTTACATATTTTTTTTATTTGAAATTTTAAGGGGCCATATGTTAGAGGGAATGGCAACCAAAAGAAATGGGGTGATTGATATGCTACTAATAGGGAGTTTTAATTACAATTATGGCAGTTAATGAAATGCTTGGAATAAATTATAAATAAAATATGAAGTCGATGTAAAAACATAGGAATACTACGACCTCTTATATCTTACTGGTCATTTAAGTTTAAAATTGGGTTTTACACATAGATTTATAGAATGATGGGTATATCTCTAGGAAATAGAAATTGTAGGGACCTATATTGGAGAAGCCCTAAAAAATACTTATGTTTTTGTACACTTCTTAATTATATGAAAAGTTATGTCTTAAAAAAAAATGTATTTTTCACATATTATATACATACATATGTATTATTACGAATAATTTTTTTATTTATAAATATTGTGCAATAATACATATTTTATTCGCACATTATTAGTATTTTCATGTACTATGGAAAAAGGAATACAAAATTTAAATAAAAAAAATTTAATTGTTACATAATTGTTGAATTTTTCACCTTATATTTTTAAGAGATTTGCTGAATAATACACGTGCATGCTTTATATGAATTATACTCATCAGGTATTTTACTGACTATATGATAGACATACATTCTATGCTAGTATGAATTTGTGAGTGATAAGTTCATAAATTTATTGTCTTATCAATAAACAACGCTTTGTCCATGGATAAGTTTGTTCACGTTTTCTAGATGAATTATGCTAAGGAAAATGGTGTAAGTTGGGTGATTATTAGTTATTGATGGATTATGCATCAACAACTAAAAGTTATCCATACATCCACGATCATGCATAACATCCCTTTTTCTAAATACCACAAACTGTTCCACCTTTGTGTTCCCTTATCCTTGTATGATAAGCAAGGTGTACAATGCAAGTCAAGATAGAAATTCATACCCATCCAAGTGGTAAAATTTGCTAAGTACTTGAGAGAAGTCAGCAAAACCAAAACTATCTATATCCTCCAAAATGAAGTTAAATTTGTTGTAATAGAGAAATAACAATCCAAGGAAGATGTGATGAAATTATCATTGCATTGGGTGATCTCTTATTTTGACTATTGAAAACTAATAACTCAATCATTTAAAATTAAAAAATACTCATTAAAATAAGAAATACAAAACCCTAAACCTAGAAATGCAGAATAACACATAAAATTATCAAAGTGTAACAAATAATCGCCACCCATATGTATTATGGGAGGAGAATTTTACATATCTTTATCTTTCTCTTCACGTGATACGAGAAATAAGATAGATAAAAAGAACAAGATTATCAATATACACCTCGATATAGGTAACCTCCAAATTATGGTACAAGAGCCAATCCCATGGGAGCTCCTAATTTTCAACTCCATCACTTGCTTATCTTCAAAAAGAAGTTACAAGAATAGGGTTGGAAAAATTTTCATCCCTTTTCAAAAAAGAAAATGTGTAAGGCTCTCCAAATTCGAGTTCACCATGAAACCCAACATGGTACATGTGTATTAGGTAGAGCTGATTTGGAAAACCCATAATGGGCTAAACTAATGTAATGTTATTAAAAGCCGATCAAACGATGGTTTGAATGTTTGGTTTGGTTGGAGGTCAGGTCAACATACTAATCATTCTTGTGCATACAACTCCATCATTAATTAATTATGCTATGCCGACAAAGTCTTTAATTGTTGTTAAGTTATTTTAAAAAAAGTCTTATCAAATAAATTATTATATAAAGAAAAGAAAAGAAAGCATAATTAGATGTTGAAAGTGTAGCATGGTGGATGGATGGTCGAAACAAAGTGGATGCATTTACGTCCAAAAACAAAAGTGTGGATGGACAATTGCTTATATATCCACAGTCCACTTTCTTCTTGAGCAGACAGCAGTACAATGTGATGAAACCCGCGCCCTGGTGTCCAGTTTTGTATGAAACGACATAAGGAATCAGCAACAGCTATTCATGCAACTGCATATCCATTTTGAAATATATTTAGCCCCACACACACGCACACCAACTTATTAAAGACCAAAATGTCACTTCTCTCTCTCTCTCTCTCTCTCTCTCTCTCTCTGGGGCAAGGGCTACAAAGTATTTGTAGCAACATGAAAGCAATCTGGTTTTTATCCGAATAAATATGCTTTGGTGGTCCATCGTGAGGTAAAGGAATAATTATGATCACAATTTTTTTTTTTTTTGGGAATAAATTGTTATTTAATTAAAAATTTGTTGCAATGTGTTACTTGCGATTAACTTCATCAATTTTTCCGTCTAAAAGATTGCATGTGTTTCGCACGTGATCCTTCAAAAAGAACGTTAAATATATCCTTCAAATTTTAAAAAGATCATGTGCGAATCACCCACAATTTTTTGGACGAAAAAGTAGATTGAGTTGGGTTATGGTTGACACCTTGCAAGTGACAAGTTGCAATAAGTGGCATTCGTTTGATCTTCCCTTATCGACGAACAAATAGAGATCGGGATTCATATTGAAAATAATTAAAAATCTAGGAATTATAATGACTTTTGATTATTTAAAATTAATTGAAATAAACACAAATAGATAAAGCAACATAAAATGGATTCCTATTTCAAGAGTGCATAACCACATGGATAAGCTCACACTAACCCGTCAATTTTGAGATGGCATGTGCATATGACATGATATTTATCATTTTGCATACAATGATATTTATCTTCTTTTTATTTTATTTTTATATACACTGATATTTATCATTTTAAATTAATTAAACCGAAGGATATAAACATATATATTAAATTAAAATCAAGAACTGGTCTCACTAATGGATCCATAATTGTGATGTCATGAAGTTATAGTGTAAAAGTTCAGAATTTTTTTTAGTGCCTAAGCTGTTAGGTGTTGTGTTGATCAGAACATCAAATTGATAGTTATAGTGATATATATTTCTACTTACATGATAAATGCTTGAAATCATCATTTTCATCTTGCTTTGCTTGTGTTGGTTTTATCAGTTTGTGCATTTATTCATTCACATTCTATACGATGTGATCTTAAATATTTAGTGATTTTTGTTTAATAATTCATCCTAAATGTGGCAAATTGAATTTGAAACTTTGGTATACTTGCTCCCTAACTAAATCATAATGAGGAGATTGGCAAAGTTGATGTGCTAGAGGAGATGGGGATGAGGGTTTGGCAGGAAATTGGGGTTCGGGTTGAGGAAAGAATAAGAAAATTGGGGTTTGGAGGGGTGACTATCGGGCTAATGGATTTTGGGTGATGCTTTAGCGTTTTCTTTTTCTTTTTTTAAGTCCTGGCCCAAACGGCGTCGTTTTGGCCAGGTCATTTAAAAAAAATTTGTCTGGGCCAAAACGAGCTGTTTTGAAAAAAAAAAGAAAAAAAAAAGACAAGATGTGCTGCACAACTCCTTCTTCTTCTCTAGACTTCCGGCAAGCATTTGGTGGGCAACTCCATGAGGTCGCACCACCAGCAAACAAGGACCTTCAAACCTATTTCAATGGCTGCCATGGGGTTGTCTAACCTCATTGACCCCATGGTGGCTCTGTCACTGTCTGGTTTCATATCCCAAATTTAAAAATAAAAAATAGAAACACGAATGGTTGGTTGCTCTTGAATATATGTCGACCTTGATGGCCGCTAAGTCCGGCCCTGAACAGGGGCTGGCAATGAGACCGGCCTGGGCCCACTATTCAGGAGGCCCAATTTATTATTTTAAGGTTATATTATATTTATTATATATTGATTTAATACTTCGAAGAAAAAAGATGGCGTTCAGATCGTGTTGGAAGAACGCATAGCGGAAGCTCCCGAAGAAGACTCCTCTTTTGCTACCCCTTCCACTCCTCTAGGTTTTGCTTTAGATTTCTCTGTTATAAATTCTTCTTCTTCTTCTCATCTCATTTAAGCCTCTCCTACTAGTTCATAATTAATTTATTAAACAGCTACCACATCATTCAAACACTCGCAACGAAAAAAAAAAAGGTTCAAGATTGAGAAGACAAATTAAAAAGCTTGTAGCTACACATTCACTTCCAACTTCTTACAAATCTCTACTCTTTATGAGGCATGGATAAAAGTGATTAAAACATGTACCCCAAAAGCACTTATTTTACAATTAGATACATGTAAACTAGAGAGAACCCTTACAATTGGTACCCCAAAAAACAAAAGCCCTGCTACACAAAAGCACAGCTAAAAAAGAAAGAAAGAGGGTCCTATATAAGTTATGGGTTGCTGTGCTAATTACAAACCAATTTAAAACCATAATCATTTAATTATGGTCACCTTGAACGATAAAGGAAAATACTAAGCTCCTGGCCAATACTCTCATCTGGGTCAATCAAATGGAAGGACTCAGAATTAGCTGAACCACAAACTCTCTCAAAGTTGGCTCTGAGGTACATAATCTCATCATCCTCCTTATTACCACTTATAATTCCGGCACCAACAACAACTGAACCCATCATCTTCAGTGCTTCCAAGTCATGCTCTGAAGGCCTGCGCTTGATTGCGTACCCAACTTTTCTACTATTGCAATACATGGTCCATACAGGTGTGGCCAAAAGAGAATTAGAATTAGTACTAGCACCATTTCCTGGGCTAGTAGACTCAAGTGCTATTCTAAGAAACCCGCCTTGCATTTCTTTAGCTAGAACCGTTGTGGGCAAAGCTAATTCAAGAAGTAGAATTGGATTGGACTTGGAGTTTGTTTGGATACAGAAGCTAACTTTGCCTCTTCGGTACCCGAATATGGTGCCGGTTATGATGTTGTTGGAACAAGCAAAGCTGGGTTGGGGATAGTGGGGATAGTAGTAGTTGTTGCCGTGGCTTTTTTGTTGTTCTTGTTTGGCTTGTAGTTGATCTTGATCATGATCTTCTATGAAGGTGCAATTGCAAGTTGGGATTAGAAGTTCGATGAGAGAGCGAAGAAGCCGCCACGACCTGACTTGTTTCTGGCAGTCCACGGTGGTGACACCGGTGGTTATGGTGGTGGCACCAACTCTCGGATAGGCCATATGGGGCTTTTTATTTGGCAAAAGGATTTGAACTAGAACCAAAGGGTTTATTGGGTGATTGAAGATGGTGTAGAGGACTCTAGGTTTATATAGTGAAGAGCTGTCTTGTCTTGTCCACTAATTATTTTATTATGCTGAGTACGTGTGTCTTCATTTAGCCATTTAACACAGTGGGATATTTTTATTCTCATAAGAAAATGATTTCATTTAATTATAACAAAAACAGCCTTCAATTTCTGACTAAAAGATTAAGAATAAAAAGTCAGACCACCCAATTGTTACTATTTTCTCATGATGATGCATGTGAAAATGAGATTGGCACGTAAAGAACATTGAATTCAACCATGTTAATTTATTTAGAGCATCTGCAATGGTCAGGATCAATGTAATTTTATTGTATAAAATTGAACTAAAATAGTAAAATTTCACTTGCAACGGTATGATTTAGTTCATTGCAATATATGGTGCTATGTGATGAACCCTCCATTGAATTGCAATAGGCTAACTATGGGACCCACATGCCAATAAACTGAAACTACTAAACTATATTATTGCAAGTAAAACTGCAGTTTAATTCAATAGATGCCAAAATAGTGTTGATGCTCTTAAACAAAGTCGTATATTGAACATTGAATCGGCAATCTAATTGCTAGGATTTAATTATAATTTACTTATTGATCACCAGTTTCTCATGATCAAGACTTTAAGGTCAATTATGATCGATTTAGTACTATAAGAAATTTGAGTCAATGAGATAACTTTTTGGTTTTTCCTTTCCTTCATAACAATCAGATCATGATGCCACAAAAGCAAAGCATCAATCTCTCGTAGAGAAATTGAATTTGATGTTTTCATAAAATGTAAATAGTTTCCAATGAACACATGTGCTCTTTCGTATTTTCAGTGGAGCATCTGATGAAAGCAACAATACATGGACTGCCTTTTATTGGACTTTATTTTCTGATTCAAAGAAATTATTCAAACATAATGATGAAGATGAATAAGCAATCCCCCTCTTCGATCAACTAATCATTGGAGCATTTGAATATTTGTGTTTTATAAAACTCCAAGTTACAACTGTTCAACTACTAATTTATGCAAGAATCTTTTGTGACCCTTTTCTCGAATGTTGGGGTACTTTAGAAAAACACCCACAAACTAGCACTAGATTTTATTCCCTGGCTTGTATTATATCAGATGAGAGGGACTTTGAAGCAAATAAATGGGGCTTTGTTCTACTTTCTAGCCTGGTTTTCTCCACTCATGTCCCTTGCCTTTCTCTTTCCATGTGTATGTTTCCAGATGATGACACAAAACCCCAAATTCTTTTTTAGGGTTTCGTTAAGGCAGACTTGTGATCCTTTATTTATGTGTGCATGGACTAAAGTGAGCTTGCAACCTACTGATTAAAGTTTTTATTTTTATTTTTTATAACAAGGTCAAAACAAAGCAGGAGAGATTAAAGGGAAAACCAAACAATTTTCTGACAAAAAGATGGGGCTAATCAAGCTTAAATTGATTTCACAAAAAGAAAAAAAGAGACAATGATAGGACTATAATAAAAACAAATTATAAAAGTATTCCGCTTCTCTCTTTATTATGTAAGTAGAAGTTTTTATTTTCTTGTCAATAGCAGTGAAACATGTATGCATAAGTTTTTCTTTTTATAATTTTGATGAATTATTTTTACATATGTCAAATTGTAATTCGTAAAAATGAGGAACATCTCCGTACAGGAAAGGAAACAATCATTATCCTTCTCCTTTGGCCATTTTCTCTCACTGCATGCCCTTTCTCACTATATAAAATTGGCCGTGTCTTTGGGACCTATCATGCCCCTCAAATACCACTTTTGTTGTTGGTCATATGACAAATGGACAAAGAAGTGGGCCCGAGACAAAAGAAGGTGTGTGCCACCTCTGTCTGGGTCCATGTCAACCATGCCACGATCACTTGTTTTTTAGCATGTGGACGCATGTCAAGAATTTCACAAAGGAAGAACATAATTAATTTTGAAGGCTAAAGACAAGTTAAAAAGCAATTAGGCCCTTGTCCAAATTTACTATAAACTTTAATCGACACCAAAAAGTATAGTAGCTTGAGAACATGAGTTGCTATCAGTAACAGAGAGTGTCCACCAAGTACAGAATGACTAATTCGGGATTTGAAGGAAGCATACAATGTGTCTTGTCAAACGTGTATCGAATCCGCCGACCACTTACTATATTGCTGCAGTTTTTGTAGCTGCAGTTTTGGAGCAGATTTTAGCAAAATCTGCTTTTCATCTGTGGGGTTCACAAACAAGTGTTTGATTGGAGAGAGGAGCCTGAGATGGATGTTGTTCAGAAATTACCCACAAAAAAAGGAGAAAGAGTATTGGTACTACTGTGATTAAGCTTGTTCGGGAAAGTCCCTGATGAAGATAAGATTTTGCAGGCTATAGTGATATCAGAAACAGAATTTCTGGTTTATAATATAAGTTGTCTAGGGAAAAAAATTACTACTAATAGGAATAAATATGAGTTTTGGGGGTATTTCAGATTAACTGGGAGTTTTAGTTTGGAATAGTAGTGCTCTGGTTAGTTTTCTTGGGGTTTTGGGGTTGGTTTCTCTGCAATTTTCTATTTAATATATTAGCTACAAGAGACAAGCTAGCTAGTCATTTCAAAATAAATTAAATTCTATTTGAGATCATTGCTTTTACAATCTTACTCATGCTGTGAATTGTGGACGAGAAGTTGAGAACAAATGATGTTGTAAGGTAGATGAGTCTAACCTCTAACCTAGATAACTTTGAGAGTGAGCAAAAGAACAACTCGTTTGTGTAGGTTATTTGCCATGCTTTGGCGGGGGCTTGCATTGGAGGTGATGTGATTTGTCTACTTACAAGTTACAACTAAACATATAGTCAATCAAAAACACATTTTTTATACATGAAAACAAAAAGGGTTTTTCATGAAATCAACTAATAATGTGAACATAGCAAACAATATACTTTCAACAAAAATGAAAACAACACCATGACAAAAATGCCATCTATGCCGTGTACCCCTATCTCCTTTATCGATACCCCATCCGCACCATGCCGTAGGTGTGAAAGACTCCTACAAAACCTTCCCGCTTCACTGTCTTGCTAGTCAAAACCATAGTATAACTAGGGTATAGTTGGATCCCTTCATAATATCACCAATCTCATCTTCTCCAATTTTGATACCCAACCTTGTTGGAGAACTAAACCAATCCCTAAACCAAATATGTATCATTATTGTATTCAAGAAGTTTCAATATGCTATTATGTTGAGTCTTTTCTTATTCTCTAATTTAATACATTCATGTATTAGTGAATGGAATAAAGAGTCAATTTAATGTATTAGTGGCCTGATGAAGAGTCTTTAATTATGAGAGAGTATTAAGATGCACTACAACATTTTAGGCTTTGCGTGACGAAGTAATCTTCGTCGCGCAAAGATGATTTTAGTCGCACATAATTATGCGCGACAGAAGTTTCGTCGCGCACAGTCCATCGCGCAAATATCGTGAAGAAAGGATTTGCGCGACGCATAAATATCATTCGTCGCGCAAAACAGTGCGACGTATAACAACTTCGTTAAAAAAAACATTTCGGGGACGACCCAAATGTCCGTCGCAAAAATATTTGCGCGACGAAAGGTTGGTCGTCGCAACAACAATGAGCGACGGAAGCTTTCGTCGCGCGAGATACATGAACTTTGCGCGACGAATGGTATTCGTCGCGCATACAAATTTCGCGCGACGAGACAATTCGTCCCGTATACAAATTTCACGCGACGAAATAATTCGTCGCGCATACACATTTCGCGCAACGAAACCTTTCGTCGCGCATGATTAAAATATATTTGTCAACGGGTTTTTTTAAATGATTTTGGGCGACGATTTACGTTTCGTCGCGCAAAAGTAATATATATTATTAAAAAAAATTATTATTATTTGTTTTTTAATTTTGTAAAAAAATAAATTTGGTTTTTTTTTATAATTAAAATGAAATTGCAATAAAAAGATTAATCGTAAAGAAAAAATTTATTATATAAAACAAAATAAATGTATGCAAGAAAAATATTTTAAAAGTAATTATAAAAATACGTCCCCGGCCGCCTCCTGAGAGTCTGATCCAACGTCTGCGTCAAAATCTGAAATCCAGCATCATACGGAGGATCCACAGACTCGATCGGAGTCTCGGGAGGAAGTTGGGAGGTGGACTCTTGAAGAACTAACTGGCTCCTCTCCACCATCGTCGTATGTTTAACATTACATAAAATATAAATTCAAAAATCCATATAAATTGAAAGCGTAACATAAGAATTAAAATTAAATAATACTTACATGAAGGGACTTGGCCAACTCATTCCCAGGTCGAACATAAACGTCACCAAAGACGTCGATCTCTGGGAATTTCGACCCCCCCTTAATTGAACAAGAGAAGGAAAATATTAGTATGAACAAAATAAATTAATAATAATGACGTATTAAAAATTAAATATAAATTATATTATTCTTACCCGACGCCGTGCATCCATCTTATATGAGAAGGGCCTGGAGCCGGAATGGTGGAGAATAGTCTTTTTCTTCCTATTGTCCTTATTGACTTGGGCTTTATTCTATTATACAAAAAATAAAACGTATTAGTTGAAATATAAAAAATTAAATAATAATGAAATATAAAAAATTAAATAAACATTAGTAAGAAATATGTAATAATTAAACAAATATTATTAAAAAA